TGAGCCTTTTCTGGCCAAAGGGCGTTTTACGCAGCGCCACTGCCACGTATCATGCTTTACTTAATTAATTAATTTGCTAGTTAGGTGTCTCAATACTACTTAAGTATATTTAAACTGTTTTAAGAACTAAATTTCAAAAGGTTTTTACTGTTTCTAGATTTTTCTGGGCTAATATTTTTTTGTATAAATCATTTTATTCTTATTAAATTCTGTATTATTATTAAAATAATAGCATTATAATATCGAAACAGTAACATCATATTTCATATTTTTTTTATGGGGATTATAGGCATTGTCCAAAAATAACTCATCCAATTATTTGGACCACCTGTTATAATCTATTCAGAATATTGTACTTGAGATATCCATACAAATTATCTTACTATAGTCCTCGCACTAAAGCCGCACAAGAGATGTTTGTGGACAATATCTCCGGATAACAAATGTTTCTGGATAACTATATTTGAAAAGATCTTAATAAATGTACTGGGTCAATTAAAGTATTATATATTTAAAATTTTTGGACTAAACGAAAATAAATACACATTTATATATGTTTCAAAAAATCAACATCACAAAATATATACGCATTGAATACATTACATCTCTGAACTTCACTTATTTTAATTTCTTCCTTTTGTATTTTTGTTCAAGAAAAAAAAAATACAATAAATATAATGCTAAATTTGTGATGATGTTCTTAAAAGCATCTCTGGATATTAATGTCTCGTAAGTTATGAAACTCTGGTTCTTATAATTAAACCAAACAGTCGTTACGATGGTTGATCGCAAAACGAGGTAGATATACTTGTATTTAGTTGGCTCGTGCTATCATCAACATACCTTAGAATGCAACTACCATGTATACGAGAACTGTTACAGTTATATATGCCAAATTTGATCTCCATTAGTGTACAACTGCTATTTTAATAGTTTGTTTCCTTTTTTATTCAGTAGATATTAACAAAACTTTATCTACATAAAACATTCATAAATTGTTTTACAATATAAGGCAAAGCAAATATTAGATTTAAAAGGAGTCACTTGAAGTTTCAGTTCTCTTTTTGTATGTCGTTATTGTCATTAACTAAGTATAAACTACTCACGTTGTATACTATTAGTATTTTTAAGCAAAACTTTAAATTGTATATTATATATTTTAATAGCACATGGACTACAAAAAATACGACTCGAAAGGAGAAAGTTATATGAATAAAATTCATAACTTTTAAAACATGTAATATAATATATTTTTTATATTTATGACGTACCGGAAAATATATAAATATTTACGAGATAATAAACTATAAATTTACTTTAATTGTATGTACACAATTACTACTTTAAAATTTGTATATTCAGATTAAACCTTCTGGAACTTTAATTTAAAGTTTCGTAAAGAATAATTTACAGCCAGGCGAAACTGCTGCTCGAGAAAATACGAGATCTTATTTTACGTATTGTTGAAGCTTAAATATTTTAAAATTTGAATTAAACCTAATCATTGCGATTCTAATTACAACTTTTAATACAACCACAAAAAATATTTAAATCTCTGTATTTTTCCCTATTTAAAACAAAGCAGTTAAAAACTATACTTTAATGAAATATTTTTTTTCTTATTATGCTGGGAGTTATCTTAGACCATTAGTTTTACTGTTTGTTTTGTTTTCGATTTAAATAAAAGTGTAAATTTTGGTGTATTTTTGGTTTCACTGCCTTCAGTGATAATTTGAATATAATATTATATTCAAATAAATTACATTTCAAAACTTACACTTGTTTCAGTTTATAATTTTATTAACATTTCTAAATAATTAATTATTTAATTTACAATCATTTAAGTAGAATATCACGCACAGTTAAATATTAATTACATAAACGTCATGAATATGAATGATCACAACCAATTTAATAGTTATTAAAAAATTTAAATTATGTAAAAAAATCAGGTTTGTTGGGTCTCCTTAAGGTACCTTTAGTAGAACAGACCTTTTATCAAGAAATCATCGTTGGGAAGAAAACATCAATGTACCTCTTTCTGAATGGTGTGGTTGCCTGGGTAGAAGCTATAGGCATTTATTTGGATGTGTAGTTGTTATGTTGTCATTAGGATCTAAGAGGAAGACCTAATTTGTAGATAGACCAAGTTGCGCCTTGGGTTTGGCATTCCAGAAATTCAGTGTAGTTAAATGATATGACTGGATTTTGTTGTTGTATGCTTTTTGAAGGATTTTTAAGTTGCACAAATATAAGAAGGTTATTATAAATTTATTTGCGTGGCTTCTTAAAGTGTAGATATGGTATGGTATCTTCTTCTTCTACCTGGCAATTTCCCAGCTTTAGTCAGGGTCTACCTTACATGTTGTAAATAATTTTGGCTAATTGTTTTTAGATATGGTATGGTATAAAAAACTATAAGAATTATAGTGGAGGGGAAGTGTATAAATAAAAAAAAAATATATATCTTTGAAAAGACATAAATACGAAGAAATTTTCAGTATGAGGATTTTATTATTTTATGTCGAGTATAGTTGACATATGTCAATATAATATTGGGTACTGGTTGGGGTACTGGTTCCTCCTCGTTGGTGCCCCTGGGCAACGTCTGGGTGGGCCACCCCGCTCTTTACACGGGGTGAGGTACTCAGACGGCTGAAGACCGGTCTTTCTCTGTCTTTTCTCTCTTTATATAGTTTACTCTTCTCTTTGTTTTTATATCGTATATATATTCTATCTTTCAAAGTCTTTTCTTCACTGTCTTTCTTGTAACGGGTGTTTTTTCTACAGGTATACAACTTTGAAATAAAATAAAACAAAAATGATTTTTTTTTATTGATATGAAATATAATATTTTGGAAAGATAATATTCTGTCATTATAATTTAAATAAGATTTCAGGCATATGACCTCCACGACTGGCTCGTACGTAGTTTAATCTGGAGGTCCAATTTTCAACGACTCTTTCAAACATTCGTGACTGTATATCGGCAATAACGCGACGAATGTTATCCTCCAAGTGATCAACGGTTTCGGGCTTATCAGCGTAGACTAACGACTTTACATATCCCCACAGAAAATAATCAAGCGGCATTAAATCGCATGATCTTGGGGACCAATTCACGGATCCGAATCGTGAAATTATGCGGTTAACAAATGTTTCTCTTAAAAATTAAATGTGGCACGAGCTGTATGACATGTTGCACCGTCTTGTTGAAACCAGAACTCCTGAACATTATGGTTGTTTAATTGATGAACGAAATAGTCACTAATCATCGCTCTGTAGCGGTCACCATTGACTGTAACGTTCTGGCCAGCATCGTTTCTAAAGAAGTACGGACCAATTATTCTTATCTTCTGTACGCACTGTACGACATCTCTGTGGATGCGTATTATCATTTAGAGTAAATGTAGTGCGAAAACGTTCCATTGTTAATCGAATTAATTGTGTTGATGGACGATTATGTGTACCGTAAAATGGACGTAGTGCGCGATACGTTTTTCGAACAGAGCCATGACTTTCAAAATAAATTTGCACAATTTGGAGGCGTTGTTCAGGTGTTAGTCTATTCATGATGAATTGCCAAACCAAATTAAACACAAATCACTGGACAGCTATCAAAATAACTGCCAGTTAAAAAAGTATTGGCAACTTAAAGTTGTATATCTCTAGAAAAAACACCCTTTATATATCTCTTGTGCGCGATGTATGGAAGTGGATGGATGGGCTTTTATGGGTGCCCGTCCTTGGGATGAATGGCGAGCGGGTGGCTCGTCCCAAATGCACTAGGACAGCCTTGCCTTTATAGGGCCAACTCCTTTATCATGGCGTCTGGCAAAAAAAGTGAGAAACTATCCTAGGAGGGTCCCAGCCTCAAAGAGGCTGGGGAATCCGTCACCGATTCGTCGGTCTGCCCCACGTATTCTGCGGGGGAGGGCAACCAACGCCGAGAGGGTCCCTCTTCAAGGGACCCTCGCAGACGAGGTGCAGTGGGCACGGACGAACTAGGCATGAATAACGGACACGATCAGCTTTGCGATAAGGTTTCAGTTGTGAGGATGGAGAGGAGTTTGATGGGTGCGTCGAGGACAGCTTCGCGGTCCAGTAAGCGACAGTCCTTCGTACCCAGGAGTGAGTCCAGTCTCCGGTCCGTAAGTGACTCCGGTCCGTAAGCACCCCTCAGGCTGTCTTCGGACGGCAGCTCATCGGGCAGAAGCCCGAAGGTGGCGGCCACCACTTTGGCCAAACGTGGCAGAGGACGACCCCTCACAACGGGGGAGTACGTCGGCCTGGCCGAAGCCAAGGAGGCACTCCTTTTGGAGGCGGAGGAGGAGACGGTGAGGCGGGCGAAGAGGGTTGAGGTAGCAATACCTTCCCTCAAGTCTCTGCCGGCCTCATCCCTCGAAGCGGAGATGGACAAGGCCCTCGAAGCCTTCCATGAAGTCGCCCGGAAGTCCGGGAATCTTAAGGGCAGATGCATTCGAGCGCTCAAGTCCTGTCGGCTTTTAGTCGGCTGGAGCTGGCACGAGTGCTGCCGCTGGAGCCGCGCCCCATGCGCTGCTTCAGTTGCCTACAAGTGGGTCATGCCGGCCTCAAATGCCCCTCATCAATCGACCGCAGCCGTTTGTACTTCCGTTGCGGTCGTGAGGGGCACATGGCCCAGGCTTGTTCATCGGACCCGCGGTGTTCGATCTGCGCGGATGCTGGCGTCGCCGCCAATTATATGGTGGGGGGCAGGAACTGCCACCCACCCAAAAGCCGCAAAGGTACGGAGCGCCCGAAATCCTCGGCTCCGACCCTTAATCCTGCCGTCCCGGAGGTAATTACAATGGACGAGTAATGGCCTGCTCGTAAAACCGCAGGGCGAGTCCATAGTGGACTTAACGTTCGCTACTCCTGTGGTCACAACGCGAGTGCGTGGTTGGCGCGTCTTAGTTGGGGAGGAAACGCTTTCGGACCACTCCTTCATAAGGTTTGAGGTTGCTCTACAAGGGTGCTCTCTGCCTCGCCGTCGCTCCGGAGGGAACACATCGGTGTTCCCACGCTGGTCTTTGACCAAGTTGGAGAGACAGTTGGCGGTGGAGGCGTCGGTTGTCCAGTCCTGGACCATGCGGGTCGAGCAGCCCGTTGAGGTGGATGAGGAGGCGCGCAAGTTCCGCCGGTCCCTATGGCGGATTTGCGATGCGTCGATGCCCCGCGTCACGCAACGCCCTCCCAGAAACCAGGTGTATTGGTGGACGCCGGAGATCGCGCAGCTGCGTTCAGTTTGCGCGGTGCCGAGATGCCAACACACCCGACAACGGAGGTGGCATCCCCGCAACGAGGCCGATGAACTTAAAGTACAAATAAAATTACTTATAATTTAGGGGTGCCTGGCTGGGTTTCCCACCTTAATAAGTGCTGGGCAATTTACAGCGTGATTTCTAATATTATTATTATGAAAATATATCAAAACTGAATTTTGTACTAAGAGGAAAGTGAAAGAAAATTTTATAGACCTTTAGAACGTGTTACCTGCCAAAGCCACCGCGACCCAAATTTCATAGATGGGGATCGTGACTACCTATATTGGGTACATCTATAGAAAAACTTTCAGCTTTTATAAATTAACGAATGCCTGGCTGGCCCTGGCTCTTGGACTACTAGGGGTGAGCTTCTTTTCTCTCTCCATCAAATCTTAAGTTCAAGTTTCACTGCCGAACATAGTGGTAGATTTGTAAGTTTCATCATAGACTCATTGAATCTTAGATCTGACTATTATAAAAATGCTCATTAAGTAATAATCTCAAATGTTAACCGAACATTTTTTAAAGACTATATGTGGGATACCATCGGGTCCCGGTGCAGATTTAGACGACTTCCTCTTGATCTGGCTACTTAGTTCCTCTAGCGTTGGTGGAATGCCGTGGAATTCGATTCGAGGAAATTCGGGGTTTTTTATCGTTTGGATCCCTATACCGTCTTAAACTTTTAGGCACTTCGTATGTGCTCTTAAAATGGTCGTAAATTTGATCGTTGGTCAAGAGAAGCTGTCCGCGTTCTTTCTTAAAAATGGTTTTCGAATATTCAATAGGGTTTTTATCGAAATCTACTTCTTGTTTTGCGCGGTCAAAATTATCACGATATTCTGCAGTTTGTCCCGATATTCCTTGGATTAATTTAAGGATTGACCTTAACTCCCTAGCTAGTTGATGACTAAGCTGATTGTCGCCTAGAGCTTTGGCTATACGTAGATTTTTTATTAATTCCCGTTTTTTCTTCCGCATTTTTATTTTGAACGAATTGTCTTTATTTTTGCGAGCATAACGATTACGAGGTGGATATTGCTCGCTAAAGTAGTCATAAACGGTATTTTGGAAAGTTTCTACCTGCGAGTTCAATTCCTGCTTGGAGCCCGGATGCTCTAACAGGACCGCTAAGTTGTCGTCATGAACTTTCCAAGTCGATTGTTTTACATTAGGAATGCTAAGACGTGTCCTGATGTTAATGGACTCCTGGTGGTTTCCAGTTAATGGTTCACCATGGGATACATGAGGGTCAACTCTATCTGAAGTGAAAGTTGGAGATCTTACCGACGATTGTCGTGCTACAACACCATTATGTGTTTTTAGATGTTTAATGTACCAGGCTCGACTCTTGTAGTTTTTCCCGCACGTAGAGCATTTTAAGTCCGTATTCGCGCCGTTTTCGCCGTTAAAATCGACCGGTGGACAGATCTTCCGCCCCCCTCTCGGACTGTCCCAGGGGTATTTTTCTTATTCGGACTTATAGCTTTATATATACCGGGCTAGGCCGTTGCCCTCGGCTGTCTTTCCAGCAGTCATCCGTCTTTCCGGCAGTCAGCTGTCTTTCCAGCGTCAGCCCGACTCTCCGGGCAGTCGTTTTAAATGAGACGAAACTTCTCAGCATTCCATGGATTCACCATGCGGGTGCCGGGTCCATCGCGTTGCAGCGAGAGGAGCTTCAACAGTGCCTGGGACTTGTGACCCAAGTGTAGGTTTAAGGGGCCCCTTAACTAACGCGCCTTATACGCTCACCTCTACTGTCCAAGCTCCTCTCCCTATATTTAATATTTATTTACGTATATTAAACACTATACATTCACACTACACATTTATATATTCAATATTATATGTATAAAATTTATATATATCAAACATGTGTCATAAATAAATATAATATAGTTATATATATATTATGATAATACACCTACACACCTATCGTCTGTCCGGTTGCTGCAAAGTAAAGGAAAACTCGGGAGTATGTTGGTTTTTAAAGTAATAAAATCGCTTACTAATCGCAAAATTTTAGTTGATAAAAAAATATTTGTTTCTTTACATCTATCAAATTTTTCATTCGAAAATGTCAATTCACTTATCGTTCTTTATGTAAAATTCAAATATGCAATTTTTTTAACCTATTGAGGTAAAAGCAGAACTATTCAATATTGTGAAGTAAAGGTAAAGTAATGAGTTACTTGCACTTATAACACTCTCACATTTTATTTTAATTTGAAAAAGTCTATTTAAAACGTGCTTATTTTATAAATAGTTTTAAGACTTCATACTATTATTAGCAAACAGTATTTTAGTGTTTTTCAAATGGTCTTAGTAAAGCCTATTCACTTAATTTATTCATTTTAATGTTAACATGAGGTACTTTTAGGTAGTATGTATATACAATTGCTTTAGATACCAAAGTTATTTTTAAAGAAAAAGTTTTTCATAAAATGATATTTTCGACAAATAATAAGAAGATAAATATAGCTAATATTAAAATCAATGAATTTAAAGTACATCCAGTAATAGTTATTATATTTGCTAAGCTTTTCTGCCAATATTGCCGTACCCTTAATTTTCCCTATTGGGTATGAAAACTGCCTTGGAAAAATTTAAATCAAGTTGAGACTCTTTTCTATCATAACATTAAAACATGGATATTTTTTCTTGAGGTTTGTTTTTAATTCGCAAACAGTTTCTTTAAGTTATGGTTAATTTATATCAATACATTATATAATCGGTAAATTTATAATAGCTCAATTAATATTGTCGGAACGGTGGGGTTACAACAATATCAATTGTGGGTGTGAACAATATTCACGATACATACATTATCGAGAACAATAAACTTGTTCGATCCTTGGATAGTTGGTTCACGCATGTCTGATAAGTAATGATAGTACTAATTTGTAACTAAATAAAATAAAAGAAATATCAAATTTCTTTTTCCAGAGCTCAGAGTATGTTTATTCTAATAACTGTTTATAATTATATATTATTAAATAATAAATTTAATTATATATTTTTTAAAATCAATAAATAATGGTAAGTAAAATGGTGTTTTAAAATTATTGAAATAACAGAAATACGTCAAGGCATAAAAAACGTTCCAATTTAATATTTCAATATTTATTTTTCGTATAGCCAAAGACGGTCAGTAGATCGCGTTTTTGAAGTCGCGATAAATCATCACACAGATGTTGTTGATCCTTAACATTATTGCTATGTTCCAGTAAAGTGATTATTTCTCATATGTACAAAATTGTTTATAAGTACAGTAATATCGAAATGAATTTATAAACAAGGTCTAAAGCATCGGTTTATGTTTGTTGTTATATTATTAGAATTATATTTGTTGAAATATTAATATTTTAGTGTTAGAAAATATCGTTAAAAACTAATAAATGTACAAGAAATTCTTTACTACCACCTCTTTTTTATTATATAATTCTCATACTGTCTCAAAAAGTATCAGAAATATTTTTTAGGGCATAAGAAACACATCCAATGATTTTTTAGACAAACCGTGAATTTTAAAACGACTGATTTTCGATTGAGTTTATAAATAGACCAAATTAAACTAAATGAGTCCAATAAGTCTGTGCAAGTAAAATTCTGCAAAACTAATTTGTTATTTTTTTATTATTTTAAAAACTGTATAATTAATCGTTTGTTGTTATATGACCTGGACATTAATAGTTAGGATGAAAATAACTATTTAAATATTACTTTAAAACTAAAAAGTTTACTCTTCAACCTTGCTTCGACTCAGACAACTAACGTAGATACGACAACTTGGTTCATTGTCCAAGTAAAAACTAATGCTTTCATAGCTTCCTTATATCACGCAGCATTTAAGGAAGTTATGATGTTGGAACAAAACATTTCTTCACAAATTGACGTAAATACGTGCTCATTATGCATGTTACTTCTGTGACCTACTTTAGAAATGTGACAATTACTTACCTGAAGGCAGAAAATATCATATTTATAAGTACATATTTGATACTTTTCTCTAGCATATTCCTTATGAAAAGTAAATACTTTGAAATTTTGCACTTTTCAAAAAACATAGCCATTACATGCTTTCGAAATTATTTAGCATGTCCCGAATTCAACAGTTTCTTTTTGTTTTAGAAAAAATAGAAACGTTGCCGCGGTTAACTCTACATATCTCTGGACTATGAAAAACTAATAATAAAAAATTTTTCCAAGATACATAATTTTTATGTACTGAAAATTGCGAAAGAAATTATAAATAAAATAAATGAGCCGTTTATTTATTTTACTTTCGTAATTGTCGTTCGATTCTATGTATAAGAACGTACATAATTATATGTCTATTAATAAAATCAATGTTGGGATTGCATTTAGTATATGTCTTTTAGTTATTGACATTTTTATTAAATTTATTATATTTCATTGTTACTTCTCCTAGTGTATAATATAATATTTATTTATTTTTTTATTTTATTTTATTTATTTAAATGTAAAAACACTTAACAATTCAATTTATAGTAAACGTTGACGTCCACACTAGGCTAGGCCTGTATCATGGTCATCGATTAATTTCTAGCAGACAAATTTCAGTAAAATTTTTACTACTCGTATAATAATAGAAAATTATAATCACACAATTAATTATATAAGGAAAAAAAGAAAACTGATCAATTATTGGAAAGTGTGATTTGTAAGTGAAGTGTAGGAGTTGTGAGAGAGTTTGTGTGTGTATACATATATTATTTGACATAAATACATACAAACCAAAAGTTTTAAATATATATATCGGCGCTACCAGCTTAAATAACGGATGCGACTTGAAAATAATTTGAGGCTGTCATCAATTCTTATTAAACCTCATTAGTATTTATGATTATTGTTAAAAGTAAAACGAAATCAAAGGAGAATAGAACTATGTTTGAATCTTGTTATAAATATGACGTCTGGATGCACGACGGCGGACTCCAGATTTGAGAATTCAGAATTGATACTCGTAATTCAGAGTTCAGTGAGTGTGTATCATTGAAGTATGTTATTATGAAGAATCTTTGAGAAATACAGGAGCATTAAGATTAATTGAAGTTTCA